TGGCCATTTTAAGTGATTTTCTATTAGCACCCGCAGCATGCCACCTCTCGGGGTTCCAAACCCCATCCTCAAGGTGGGCCCTAGAGATCTTAATGGGCCAGGCCTGCGCGAGGGGTGAATCGCGCAGGGCCAATAGGATCGTCCTCGGATAAATTGCTCAAATCATAAGTCCGGCTGTGGAAGATCAAAAGGAAGAGGGGGGGGGAAGGGATTCTCAGTCTCAGTCGTGCCAAGTTCTCCATTGGCTGGAACGGGGCCAAAGCCCGGATCCTCCAGGCCATCCTCCGCCGACCAGAGACGAGGCCGGGGCCGCGTCTCCTGTGTCCTCCAGTCGTCCCCAAAGCCTCCAATGGCCGAAGACAGGTCACCGTCTAGGTCCTCTAATGTAATATGTGTTTCTTGTAGGCATATAATATCATTCTTGTGCTGCTTCAAATAGTAAAATATTTTTCTCCTTTTTTGTGGTGAGTTCAATCCATTAACATTTAAAGTTATTAGCTTAACCATCCTTTGGTTTTTGGAGCTTCTGAATCAACCCTTGAAGATCCATTGTGACAGATCTTTTAGGCCTGGCTCCTCCCACTGGCTCCGAAGTAGTTGCAGATGTTTGGGGCATAGCCTCTCTCTGTTGCTCTCTTTCCTTACGCTTATGAGCCGCACGTGTAATTCTTTGATCTTTTGGATCCTGTTTTGCCTCCAACACTTGTAAATTTTGAGATTCTACAGCAGATAGCGACATAGCTCCAGGTAATTCCACAATCAATTGTTCCACTCCTTCTTCTACTCCTCTAGCTGGTGATGTAGAAGGTGAGCCAGCTTTCAGCACGGTTGAATAAAAATTCTTTGCTTTCTGTACTGTATTAAGCCTATAGCGATTGCCAGCAAACATAAAGACCAATCCAACTGGTATTTCCCATCTAAAAGATATTTGTTGCTTCTTCAACTCTTGAGTCAGAAATGCAAACTCCTTTCTTTTTTAAAAAAATCTTTGAAGGTATTTCTTTCAAAAGTATAATATCCTGAGCAGCAATCTGAAACTTCTGCTGGTAAAAGGCCTGTATAATTTCATTTCTACGTGTTTTTCTGGAAAAGTAAACAACAACATCTCTAGGCTGTTTTCTCTGACGTGCGACCCATGAATTGACTCTAAATATTTTTTCAATCTCTCCATAGATAATTTCAGGGTCGCAGTCTAGAGCCAAGGCCAGGGCAGCTGTTACCTCTTCTCTCAGTTTCCCCTGTACGTTTTCCTGAAGGCCTCTGATTCTTATTGCATGTTCCATTTCTCTAAATTGTGCCAATACAACATCACTTTGAACAATCTCCATAGTTTCTTCTACTTTTTCCATTCTCTCCTCCACCCTCACTTTCTTTTATAATCATTTCAAATTTTGTTAATTGTCTATCTTTCTTCTCAAATTTTTCATCCATTTTTATCCATTTCTCTAATTGTATTAGATTCAACCAATTTAACTTAGTATCTGATAAAACATTCTTTAGTTGTATTATATTCTTTATCTTGTTCTTCCAGTCTTCCCATTTATATATCTGATTTTTTTTTTAATTTACTAATCTAATCTTTCAATTCAATCTTAGGGAATTTCTCCATTTTGACTACCGGTATTAAAGGAAAAATTCCTGGCATTAACCGGTATCTCCATTTATCCCTTAATTCTATTAGGTTTTTTAAAAAGGGATTTTGAATTCTCTTAACAATTTTTAATATCTTTTTTTAAACCAATATGTTTCTATAGGATCGCCTATTTCCCTTAATTCCTTCAATTCTATATCACTCCATAATAAATCTCTATCTGGGTCCACCCTTAATTGATTAGCTACCCAATAATTTCTAACATTTGGAAGACCCAGCCCACTTCTTTTTAATGGTTCATATCATAAAGCTTTACTTATTCTTGCTCTCTTGCCTCCACTAAATACACCTCCAGCAATCTCTGTATTTCCTTTAATTCTTGATCCGAAAACTTAATTGGGATCATCTAAAACAAAAAGTTATTTTTTGGTAAAACATTCATTTTTATTGCTTCAATTCTTCCAAACCATGATAATTTTACTTTTCCATATTTATCCATTTTATCTTTTATATCTTTCTTTAACTTCTCATAATTTATCTTCTTTAATTCTTGAATATTTTTTGGGATGTCAATACCTAAATATTTGATACTATCTACTATTTTTAATTTATATTTTTATTTCAATACATCCATTTCTTCTTTACTATAGTTATATAACATCATTTCTGATTTTTCCCAATTTATTTGCAATCCACTATATTTCCCAAATTCATTCAAATGTGAATATACCCTCTCTATAGTAGCTATGGGATTTTGAAATATTAGTAAAGTATCCTCTGCAAATAAATGTTTTTTTGTTTTCTTACATATGCCAATTCCTTCAATCAATTCTGTATTGCTTAAATGACACATCGGTAGTTAAAATATATATTGTTTGAAACAAAAACATTCTCCTAGGCAATAACTTCATTTTTTCTTGTACCAGATATTTTTCCCTACACTGACAAATGTAATTCTTCCCATCTTAGCATGTTTTTCTTAATTTAATTCCATGTCTTAACTGTTCTGAAATAACATACAATTCATATTAGACATAGTAATATGTAAATATTTTACTTTCTTCTCAACATTAACACCAGAATTTTCCAAACAGTTTCATATGGTATTTTATTTTCATATTTTTGTTAACATTATTGTTATATTGTTGTTAACTTTAAAACTGGCTAATGTGCCAAAAGCTTTTAGTCTTCCATTAATATTTCTGTTCCTTATAAAAGATCTTCAAAACTAGAATCAAATCATCATAAGAGACCCATAATCTACTATTTATCTTTTAACCCTTACTTCAGCAATTCTCTCATTTCAATATTTCCAAAGTTAACATAATTAATATTGAGGAAAGGTAATATTATTGACTTTTTCCTTTCTTTATCTCACAATGTTTTGTTAATCTTCCATTTCCAATTATCTTTGGCCCTTGTGTGCTATCAATTATCCATTTAATAAAATTCTCACCAAAATCCATTTTCCCAAACATCTTCCCTGTGTTTTCAAAACAGGTTAAACTTCAGTTGCTTATTAGGACATCCAAAAGAAAGATGTTAATCAGATATACAAAGAACAATTGTCAGGTTGCCAATATTCCAAAGGTAATTATGACACTTATGAATTACTGAAATCACTCTATTATTTTAGCAGGTGAAAATATCAAACATTCTGTGCCAAAGAGAATAGGAATTGAGAAACAATTCATATAAATATTACTAGAGCCACATGGAGGTAGCAAAGGGTAATGATGACTTTATGAGATTCATTTCCACAAGTTATTTCCCTCCTGTATTATCTGCCAGAACTTATCTTTGAACGATAGACCCAGACATCCAAAACAGTAGAATAAAGATGCTATTCCTTCTGACTTTCTTGATGCACAAAGTAGTTACTCTGAGATGCCCTGCAAGTGATGCTTTCCCTGTTCCACATGAGTGGTTCCAGCCTGGGAATCTCGTAATTGGTGGGATGGTGTCTCAAATTTTTTATCACTTTTATGAAATTGAATTTAAGGACCACCCTTTTCTAAAATCTTATGACTTACCACTGTAAGGATTTTCTTTTGCATATATTTTCTATTCTTAGACATATTGCCAGTAATTGTTTATATGAATAAAAATAGTTTCAGCATAAATGTCAGTTTTGCATGTCATCAAAGCCTGTTTTGTCTTTTGAACATATCTGGTTGTTGGAGAAGAAGTCATTTTCTTTTCATTAAGTTGAGTTCTTTCTCATAAAATATATGATTCTTCTTTTTCCATTCATAAAAGATATATTCTTCAAAAGAAGTAAGACTTCTTTTAAGTCAGGTTATTTATTACTTTGCATTTGGCTCTATACAAAACTTACACACAAGAAATCAATGATATTTGCTTATTCTGTTTATATTATATTTTGTGCTACATTAATAGAATGTATCTTGAAAAGGCAACTATTTTTGTCATAATACCTATTAGTTGCAAATCATAGAAATACATAGAAACATTCTGTAGAAATTATTGCAATATTTTAATATTTCATAATTCTCATCTTCCTACTTCCATCAGAGACAGAAATGTTAATTATTCATTTAGAAATGATGCCAAATTATAAGAGCTTTAAAATTACTTCTTCAATGGGGATATTTAACCTTTTGGCAGTGTAGTCACCAAATTCTACCAGCACGTCCTTGCCTTGGCCTTTGCTATGAAGGAGATCAATGAGGACTTCCAGATCTTACCTAATGTCTCTCTTGGGTTCCACATCTATGAGAGTTACTACAGCCCAAGGATGACCTATCGCACCACTCTGGACCTGCTTTTCAAATCTAAGGGATTTTTTCCTAACTACAAATGTGATAACCAGAAGAATCTCATGGCCATCATTGGAGGGTTAGATGCCTCTACCTCTTCCTATATGGCAGAAAGTATAAATCTCTTCAAGATTCCACAGGTAATTTGCGGGAGAGCAGTAAGAGAGAAACTTCTCTTCTTTTGTAATGAACATTAAGAGAATAAGAAAATAAGAGGGTCTTCTAGTCCAACCCAGTGCTAAAACAGGAGACCTTTGGAGTTAGAACCCATTAGAGTTCATTCAGTTTCCATATATTTTTCCTTCGTTCTTATGAATAATGGCTCTCCTTTATTTCTTTAGTTGACCTATGGTTCTGTTGCTCAAGAAGAGTTCCAGGCTACTAAGTTATCTTCACTTTACTGCATGGTCCCCAAAGAAGAACATCAATACAGTGGTGTTATACAGCTTCTGCTCCATTTTGGATGGAGGTGGATTGGAGTCTTTACCTTTGATAAGAATAAGGGAGAACATTTCTTGCAGAAACTGTATCCTTTGCTTTCTCAAAATGGGATCTGCTTGTCTTTCACACAAAGAGTTCCACAACGAACCCAGTTTGAAGAAATTTCAGAATTAGTTGATGTGATCTCAACTATTTCTAATCAACTGATAGATCGGAAGGCCAATGTTCTTCTTGTCTATGGTGAATCATTCACGATTCTGTGGCTCAGAACTGTTGTGTTTCTACGTGATTATGAAAATAAAGAGAGTGCATTATTTAGAAAGTTTTGGATCCTGATGTATCCAATTGATTTCATACTGACAGGACTTCAAAGGGCTTGGGATGTCCAGTTGTTCCATGGGTCTCTTTCCTTTACAGTGCATTCAAGAGAAGTTCAAGGCTTCAAAGAATTTATTCAAGTCATCAAACCTTCAACCCACAAAGATGGATTTCTTCAAGAAGTTTGGGAGCAATTGTTCGACTGTTCACTTTCAAATGAAGAATTACCCTCAATGCCCAATGAAACGTGCAGTGGAGAAGAGAATTTGGAGACTCTGCCTGCTCCTCTGTTTGAGTTGCAGATGACTGCCCAAAGCTACAGTATCTACAATGCTGTTTATGCAGTGGCACATTCATTGCATGAGGCGGTCAGATCAAACTCCCAACCCAGAAGAATTAAAAACTTTGAATTTTCAAATCTGCGGCCTTGGCAGGTAATATCGCCTTGCCACACCAATCATTTGTTTCAATGAATAGTTCTTCTCCTCCATACTCTAATATGGATTTTTCTCCACAGATCAATGCAGTTATTGAAAAACAAAGTTATTAATGTAACAACTGATTATAAGTTATAGAACAAAGGAGGATAAAAAACATGTCTTTGCAAATTTAAATCTATTCAATGGGACTTTTGTTATTTTTGATTCCCTAAATAACGATTTTATTTCTATCTAGATTTGTCCTGTCTTGTAGATTTATTCAGCCTGGTTCTAAAAACAAATTAAGTGACAATGGATCTGAAGGCAGTCTTTTTTTTCCTGTTCAATATACTGTTCTAAAATGTAAACATTTCACTTCACTAGATTTTTGTAATTTAGTAAAGATTTGGTTGTTAGACAGGGGAATTAGTTTTATGACAGTCGTTCTTTGCTGATATAGCCAAATTATTTTTGTGAAGATATGTTGATTTTGAGACTTATGGTAAACCACCAAGAGATTGGCAGGGTTTGGTGCTTTAAAGTTTGTGTCATAGTTAATTAGTAAAATAAATATAAGCTGCAGGGTGCTGCAACCAAAAAAACAAACACAGTGCTAGGCTTTATTAACAGAGCTATAGAATCAAGATCACATGATCTTTTTATATATAATGCCTTGGTAAGGCCTCACTTGGAATACTGCATCCAGTTTTGTTCACCACAATGTAAAAATGGCTCTGCTATCATCTTGTTGAAATATAGTTCAACAATGAAATATAGTTCAACAATGAATTCAGAGAATCTTCTGAATTTTCCCTTAACAGTTTTCCATAATGTTCATACTTGCAAGAATTATTTGGAATTCTTGTCTGTGTGATTTCAGATTTATGTACATATAACCTATTCTCCAATATATGTCTACTTAGCTCATGGATATTTCAAGGTTGAGAACCTGAGTGTACTGTTTTTTCATCTTTTTCTGTCTGTCTGTCTGTCTGTCTGTCTCTCTCTCTCTCTCTCTCTCTCTTTCCTCCTCATACTCCTTTTCTCCTCCTCCTCCTCCTCCTCCCTTAAACCAAAGAATGCTTGAATCTCTAAAATCTGATTAAAGGAAATTTGTCAGGTCCTAGCCTCTCAAAAGCTAATTATGAAGAGGAAAAATGGAGGATAAGACAATATATGGTGTCTAGGGTTGACCAACTTGAACAGTAAAAAGAAATCATATTCAAAATATTCTGTTTTCATTTTGCTCTTATTGATTGATGTTATTTCCTATATTTCCTTAAAATAAGATCAAATTAATAATAGAATAGACCTATAAATTTCCATGCAATATAGATTATCAATTTTCTCAATATACTTATTTGAGCATTATTACAGGAGTGGGAAAAATGAGTGAATTAAATTTGAATATGCTGGTCTCCTCTCTATTGTTAGCCTTCCAATTCCCTCTCTCATTGTCTTTGAAGTAGCTCCATCCATTTCTTCAAGGCATTTCTTTTAACAATTCGGCTGGGGAGAGAGTGTTCCTGAATGAGAAAGGGGAAGCAATGGGTGGATTTGACATCATCAACCTGATCACATTCCCTAACAGATCTTTTCAGAAAGTTAGAGTTGGAGAGTTGGATCCCAGTGCTCCAAAAGGGAAAGAATTATTCATTGATGAAGATATGATTGCCTGGCACCCAGCTTTTAACCAGGTATATTTACATTTAATGGACTGTATTGTGATCCATTATGATAACCATGGAGATGTCTTTGTCTGTAAAGGCATATTGAACATAGTCTCTTTCCAAATATAAGGGGGGTTTTTTTTGAGAGAAAAATAAGAGATCTATTCATTGCAAATGCTGACTGTGTTCAAGCATTTAGCAAATTGATAAAATGACACGACACTCTAAAAGCCAAGTTTTCATATTTGAGTTGCATTTCCATTTGGAATCATGGGAGTCCTGTTGTTTACATAAGATTGTCATCACACAAAAGCATTTATTCACCCTGCCCTTCTGCAAGCAGGTCCTGTTACCCATCCTTGTAATTTCAACATCTTTATAGAAAAAATCCCATTTGATAAAATTGAGTAGAAATTTGAAAAGTCAATTTGAGGGGCTTCCACAAAGAAGAGGGGCCATCAATCTATTTTCCAAAGCACCAGAAGGAAAGACAAGAAACAACAGATGGAAACTAATCAAGAAGAGAAGCAACTTAGAACTAAGAAAAAATTCCATAACATTGAGAACAATTAAGCAGAACAACAGCTTGCCTCCAGAAGTTGTGGGTGCTTCATTACTGGAGGTTTTAAGAAGAGACTGGCTGTCACTTGTCTGGAATGGTATAGGGCAGGGATGTCAAACTCACAATGTCACGTGATGTATCACAACGTATCATGATTTTTTTCCATTGCCAGCAATGGGGTGGGCGTGGTTTCGGTATGATGCATCTGGCCTGCGGGCCAGCAGTTTGGCACCCCTGGTATAGGGTCTCCTGCCTATGCAAGGGGTTGGACTTGAAGACCTCCAAGGTCCCTTCAAACTCTTGTTATTCTGTTATTCTGTTTCCTGACATAAAAAAGCAAAATTAGAAACTGTTTTAAAAATCTCCCCTTACAAAACCTTTTATGTTTATCACCAGGTACTTCCAATTTCCCTGTGTAATGATCATTGTTCCCCTGGATACTGGAAGAAAGGGGTTGAAGAAAAAGAATTCTGTTGCTACGACTGTGTTCCATGTCCAGAAGGGAAGATTTCAAATCAAAATGGTAGGTTAGAGATTCCATCAAGTTTTCATTAGATAGGTTTAAGCAAAATGTAACAAACTACTTTAGAATTAATATAATTAGTAACTTTAAAGGTGAATGTTCATTTCTGTACTGTTAAAGTTTGCCCCTAAGATTCTGGCAGGTAGCATTTCCTAATACAAGCCCCCAATAGGGATCCATTGAGTCATAGATCTTCTATCATCATATCATCTATTATCTATTTATTTATTTTTCAAATTTTCAACTTCATTTACCTGTGGGGGGGTTTTTCCCCCCATAAGATTGTTCACTCAGTAAACAACTATATGAAACATTTTTTTAAAAAAAAGAAAGTTGTTTTCTGGTCTCCCCTATATGATGTCATCTTCATAACTTGTGACCTTAATCATTGTAAGTCCATCTTATCATTATCTGACTAATACATATTTAAATGGGAGATCACCCGCTAATTAGAATTTGTAGATTAGCTTGGGACTTAAAGAAAAAGTATACTGGAACTAGCAAAGTTTGTTCTTACCAGAAACCCGCACATGAAATCTACTTTGAGTCTACAGACATTAAATTAATTCAATAACTTCTTTATCTTTTTCTTTTTTGGCCCCTATGAAAGTATGATTTAAGGACCCCTAATCTCTACTTTTCAAAGACAACCTTTAATTCTGGCCCTTCTTTTCCACAAGTAAGAGAAAGCAAAAAAGTTTCAGCAAACAAAGAAAGATTTGTCAATGAATTAGGTATATTAACCTCAAAAGGACATAGGGTGGGTATTTGTAGAACCAATGTTTTCCATATAGATCATAAAAAAACACTAAAGGGCAGGATAGAGCATAGAGATCATGGATTTCATTATCTAGCTTATTCACATTTTAACTGAATCAAATTGAAATTTAACTGATTATATTGATTTGTACTCAGAGTCAGTATTTCTGCTTCCCTTATATTCATCAAAAATGGAAAAAGTCCAAATGGACTATATTGATTTCAGAGAATAATTGTGCTTTCCATTGTTCTTTTTGCATGCAAATCCTAAAAGATACAATAGAGAAAAAAACTGCTATTTCACAGAAAAATGATCCTACTAGTAACCATAGTTAGCTGGCACCCATCAGATGAATATTTTCAAAAATTTGGAATGGATAGATGACAAATTCTTTGACTTGTCTTCCAGATATGGATGACTGTTTTGAATGTTCAGAAGATCATTATCCAAATAAAGAAAAGAAAGGATGTATCCTAAAAATGATGGTCTTTCTAACTTTTGAAGAAATCTTAGGAAATTGTTTAGCCTTGACTGCTCTTTGTTGTTTCTTCTTGACATCTTGGGTACTTGGAACTTTTATTAAGCACCAGGATACTCCCATTGTCAAAGCCAACAACCGGTCCCTCACCTACACCCTCCTTATCTCTCTTCAACTCTGTTTTCTGTCCTCTTTGTTCTTCCTCAGCCAACCTAGCAAGGTGACCTGCCTTCTCCGACAACCAACTTTTGGCATCACCTTCTCAGTAGCCATTTCTAGTGTTCTGGCCAAAACCATCACTGTAGTTGTTGCTTTCATGGCCTCTAAACCAGGATCTCAGATGAGGAAATGGGTGGGGAAAAGATTGCCTTTTTGTACTGTCCTTTCCTGTTCTCTCTTACAAGTGTATATTTGTATTCTTTGGTTGTCAACATATCCACCATTCTCTGAGTTGGACATGCATTCAGAGCTCCAAGAAATGATTTTACAGTGCAATGAGGGGTCAGCTTTCTTTTTCTATTGTGTCTTGGGCTACATGGGTGTCTTGGCCATCGCCAGCTTTGTTGTGGCTTTTCTTGCCCGTAAATTACCTGACAGTTTTAATGAAGCCAAGTTCATCACCTTCAGCATGTTGGCCTTCTGCAGTGTGTGGATCTCCTTCTTTCCAGCCTATCTGAGCACAAAAGGAAAAGTCACGGTAGCTGTGGAGGTCTTCTCCATCTTGTCCTCCGGGGCTGCATTACTGGGATGCATATTCTTGCCAAAATGTTACATCATTGTTTTCAGACCTGGGCTAAACCAGAGAAAGCAGCTAATAAAGAGGACTTAGTACATACTGTGATCTTTCTAACTATGAAAAATTGCTGATCAAAAATTGAATTTATAGGAAACGTATAGTTTTGATTTCTGTCAAAGGAAATGTTAAGGAGGATTCTTATTAAAATATTTATTATGGTTACACAATCCAAAAGAAGTGCTCATGCTGCTGTATTTTCAATCACTTCCAAGAATCTTTAACCCATCTCTTTCTCTTTTCCAACACCCCAAGCTAAAAAGTCTTTGGAATTAGGTTTCTTGGTTGGTTGCTTTCAGGGGATTTGATATATTGATTAAATGTAAGTGCATGTATGTATGGCATATGGATGGATGGATGGATGGATAGATAGATAGATAGATAGATAGAGATAGAGATAGAAATTTATAGATATATAGAAATATGTAAAACATGTAAAAAAACAAGAAAAAGGTTAAGGAAATGATTGGTCCATTAGTGGGAAAAAGTGGCAAGAAGGTGACAAGCAACAGGGTGAAAGCAGAACTATTTAATTCATTTTTTGCATCTGTCTTTACACAAAGGGAAAAAACAGTCCACCCTATCAAAAACAATACCATAAAAACAGATTAGAAACACAACTTAAGATTGTGAGCATCTGTCCAGTCTAGACGAGTTCAAATCACCAGGACCAGATGGTTTACACCCCAAGGTTCTCAAGGAACTGGCAGATGTGATCTCAGAACCACTGAACTATATTTTTAAAAGATCCTGGAGCACAGGGGAACTACCAGAGGACTGGAAAAGAGCTGATGTAGTTCCCATCTTCAAAAAAGGGAAAAAATAGATCCAGGAAACTACAGACCTATCAGCCTGACCTCAATACCTGGGAAGATTCTGGAAAAGATAATCAAACAACGAATCAATGAGCACCTAGAGGCAAAGAAAGTCATTACTAAAAGCCAACATGGGTTTGTCAAAAACGATCATGCCAGACAAATCTTATTGCATTCTTTGACCAAGTGACAAAATTAGTGGACTAGAGGAATGCTATGGATATAATTTACTTGGACTTCAGTAAGGCATTTGATAAAGTAGAAAACAACCTACTACTTGATAAGATAGAAAAATGTGTGTTAGACAGCATCACTACCAGATGGATTCGTAGCTGGCTGACTGGCCATACTCAGCATGTGGTTCTCAATGGAACTGCATTTACAAAGAGGGAAGTGTGTAGTGGGGTGCCCCAGGGCTCTGTTCTAGGCCCAGTGCTCTTCAACATCTTCATCAACGATTTGGATGAGGGGATAGATGGGGAAGTCATCAAATTTGCAGACAACATCAAGCTGATAAGAATAGCCAACACTCCAGAAGACCGGCTTAAGATACAGAAGAATCTTGACTTGAACACTGGGTGCTATCTAACAAAAGGAAATTCAGTGGTGAAAAAAGTAAGGTTCTACATTTAGGCAAGAAAAACCAAATGCACAGGTATAGTATAGGTGGTACCTTGCTGAATAGCAGTAACTGTGAGAGGGATCTTGGAGTCCTAGTGGACGATCACTTAAATATGAGCCAGCAGTGTGCTGCAGCTGCCAAAAAAGCCAACACAGTGCAAGGCTGCATTAACAGAAGGATAGAATCAAGATCACGTGAAGTATTAATACCACTTTACAATGCCTTGGTAAGGCCACACTTGGAATACTGCATCCAGTTTTGGTCACCACGATGTAAAAAAGATGCTGAGACTCTAGAAAGAGTACAGAGAAGAGCAACAAAGATTATCAGGGGACTGGAGGCTAAAACATATAAGGAACGGTTGCAGGAATTGGGTATTTCTAGTTTAATGAAGAGAAGGATGAGGGGGGACATGATAGCAGTGTTCCAATATCTCAGGGCTGTCATAAAAAAGAGGGAATCAAGCTATTCTCCAAAGTGGCTGAAGGCAGGACAAGAAGCAACAGATGGAAACTAATCAAGGAGAGAAGCAACCTAGAACTAAGGAGAAACGTCCTGACAGTTAGAATAATTAATCAGTGGAACAGCTTGTCTCCAGAAGCAGTGAATGCTCCAACACTGGAAGTTTTTAAGAAGAGATTGGACAGCGATTTGTCTGAAATGGTATAGGGTTTCCTATACCTCCAAGGTCCCTTCCAATTTTTTTTTTATTATTATTATTATTATTATTATTATTATTATTATTATTATTATTATTATTATTATTATTATTATTATTATTATTATTATTATATAAAAATCAAACTGTATGAGTACTTTTGTATGTGTCTCTCTCTCTCTGTGTGTATGTTTTGTTTGTTTGTTTGTTTGTTTGTTTGTGGTCTGCCATCCCCAAGCTAGAATGGGACTACTTGCCATAGCCAACTTGCCATTGGATAACTCTGCACAGGATAATTCAACAAGTACAAAAGTTAGATTAATTTAAATGGAAGCATAGCCAATAATAAAAAAAAAACAAAGTCCATCCAGAAATACAAGAGTTGCAATAATTTCAATGAAAATGCGATCACCAATAATAAATGTAACTGAATGAAACAATTAATACAGCATTGAATTGTCTCATGGTGAGTTGGCCATGGCGAGTTGCTTAGACCCTCCCCAAGCTAACCATTAAGCATTTCACCTAGAGATGTAAGATGAGAGGAAAGGAGAAACCCCACAGATGAAATATATCACTTCCTTGAAGACAGGAAAATACAGACCCTTTTTGTGGGCACGGCTGGTAAACAAGCTTCTCTGATACACAGACTATTTTGTCATACCAATGCAAATGTATGAGATAGGAACCTTGTAATTTCCGTAAAAAATGGGTCTATGGTTAAATATAGTAAAGAAGACCAAAAACATCACAATACATGCAAGAACCATCCTTAAAATTGATAAACAACACACTGAATCAATGGATAGATTTTCCCTGTTAGGATAAATGATCAACAATAAATGAATGAACCAGCACTCAAAAAATATGCTTCACACTAATCATTTGGTAGGATAGCAAGAAAGATTTCAGAGAAGATTTTTAAATGCAATCATATGACAATACTTGAGAAGATAAGAATTGTGTTTGATCCAACATAACCCATTAAATCAACAAACTATCATCAACTCAATATCAACTCCCAATGAGCATCCTATTAAAATTACCATATTCAATATGGAAGATAAGAATAAAAGAAAATGATGCCATTACAAAATTCCAAAGAATGGGCATTTTTGGAAAAAAAATGAAATGATAGGGATCTGAATTTCTTTTTTTAAAAAAAAAACATTGTTACCAAATTTTAATGAATGTTTTACATGGGCCTCCTGGCCATTACAAATTTCTTTGTAGCTTTCCATACTTGAAAATTAGCTACCAGTTTTAATGAAGCTATGTTGGTCACCCTCAGCATGTTACTATTTTGTAGTGTTTGGTTGTCCTGACTACTGGGTTACTGGCTTGCATCTTTTCCCCTAGATGCTACATCAGTGTAATAAAACATCACTGAATGATAGAGATCAATTAACTAGGAGAAAAAATAAAGTTGTTATGCCTCTCTGTTAATTATTTGATAAGCCTTTTCTATTTATTTACTTGATTTATTCTCTGTCTTTCTACTTTGGCAAGTTCTCAAGGCAGTTACAAACATTTTATAAACTCAAAATAAACGGTTAAAAACAGGCATATCATTAAAACTCAAATAAGTGTTTAACTCATTTCATATGTGTTACAGAATTCTAATTTTGCCTATGCTAGCACTGATGATGTTACATAGTTAGGGTAATGAAACGTCTGCAAGAAAACAAGCAAGCTCAGAGAGCACCAAGACCTCTCATTTCAATCCTGAGATACAAATATTCTCCTTCATTTGAAATAAGTGTTTTAAATTAACTAAAATAATCCTTCCCATGGGAAATGAATATTGTTTTAATTGTGAATAAAAAAAAAATGAATAGATAATTTAGTCTTCTGAGATTTGGGCCAATCAATCTCATCTCTTAACCTATTCAAATCTCGGAAGGCTATGCAAAAAAAATATATATTGAAAAACAGAAAGCAAGTATGAAATAAGATAAAATCTCAACCTCTCTGTGGGGATCTTGAAAATAAGAAGAGAGAAACAATACTATTCAGTTTCTGCTGTCTGTTGTTACTGTTAATCAGGAAACACTGCTGTTAGTATTGAAACATTTATTTATTCTCCTGTTGAAATTCAAGTTTAGATAAATGCATTTCTCTCAAAAATGGACTTGGACTAGTCCATTTTTAAAAATCCAGCAGACTTGTACCCTTTGTTCGGAAGACATGTTCTTCCTTCTGATGTTTCCAGTGATCAAAGTGGATATGCTGAATTGCTTGGTTGCTGATCCTTTTCCTGTTTTGTATGAATGGTACCAGCCAGGTGATCTCTTAATTGGAGGAATGGTTTCTCAGATTATATTTGTTTCCAATGAACATTGGTTTGATGAATATCCATCACACAGGATATTTGAGATTACAAAGTAAGCAAATATCCATCTTCATCTTATGGGACTTTGCCTCTTCTTGGCTTTTGCAGATCACATCTCTTGTTTCTGGTCTAACAAAAAAAGATGAGGATCTTGACTATTCCTCAAGTTTCTGCATTGGTTCTAATGTTATACCAAGAGAGCTATAAATGATCAATCCCCTTTCTGAAAAGATATCATGAGATCTTGAGGAACAACTTAAAGACCTGTTTTAGCACTGTTAATGAATAACAAGATTATGAAGACGTTGTTCAAGATTTCACTTTAGATGCCTAGGCAGTAGGCTATGGAAATTGAATTTAAAATCCCTGTATCTTTTGTATCCTGTATCTTTTGTAACAATCCCTCATAGAAGAGGGATCCTTGGTGCATTCTGAACTTGCTTGTTTTCTTCCAGATGTTTCATTACCCTAACTAGGTAACATCATCAGTGCTAGTAAGGAGTGCTGTTTGCTGTCAGTTTATATTCTGGGGTCTTGCCTGTCTGTGTGGGTGAGGGCAATCTTAGGAGATTCTTCCATAGGGCTGTTTATTAATGGCTCTTTGGCAGTTTCCTTGATTGGGGTATTGCTTACTTGATTGTTGGTCTGAAGGTGACCTTGGAGTTAATCTATGCTGATCTGAGTGCTGATTACTGGTGGGGAGATCTGGGGTTTTTTTCTCTTGTGGGCTGGTTGATAGTCTCTTTTACATAGTTAGTCTATAGATGCTGTTAATGTCTATGTGTGTCTATTGATGGCTGATTTGTCAGAGTTGCCAGGCTTCTAGAAATTCCCTGGCATTTTTTAATTTGACCTGGTCCAGGATTGTCACATTTTCCCATTTGAAACTATGGTTAAATCTGTCTACATGTTGTGAAATTAAATAAGTTTTCTGAAATGTCTTCAAGAAAACAACCAAGCTCAGAGAGCATCAAGGACCCCTCATTTCAACCCTAAGCTACAAATATTCTCCTTTATTGGAACTTTTCTATCTTCTCATTTTTTTTATTAATTTACTTAGATGAGTTGTTTTATTAATTTACTTAGATGAGATCTAAGATTCTTACTTTCTGTCTTTCTTCCATAAGCGTATACATATATGAAGGTTCTTGGTGTACCTCCTAGCAGAATGCATCTTGCTAGATGCTGAGTTTTTCTGTAAATACTTCTTTATCACTAAAGCTATAACCCTATTTCAATTGTCTGCAGAATTTGGGCTCCATTCATCATGAATAGACAAAAAAAAACAAACAAACCCAAAATTGCATCTCTGTCTCCTCTACATAAAATAAAATATGGAACTGCTTTAGAATTTCTAAAAATTAATTGGATTATGTATAGATAGGGAGATGATATGCTGATGTGATATATATCATATATTAAAATATATTATGATGATATGATATAAAGAGAAATTGGAAGTAATAGTGTTCAAGTGTGGTGTTCCTCTACTATCTAAAATAAGAAAGATGCAATAAAATTTGTTTAATGAAAACAATTTTTATGTAAGATGAGAAATAGCTGTAAAAATAGCACAAAACTGTAATATTAAATCAACTTCCATTTAGAGATCTAAAAAACAACAATATTTAGTTTGTTCATGCAGAACTATGTCAGGACTGAGCAAAGCTGAAAGAAAAATTAGATTCAATAAAAAATTAAATTCCATTCAGGAGAAACAGGGATATATACACAATCCAACAGTCTATAAAATTGTATGTCCTAATGAATAAAGTAATATAATAAAAGAATATAATAAAAAAGAATAAAATAATATGCAATGGAAGAAACAATAGAAAGGCTACTTCCCCAAACATACCTGCAATTTAGTATTATATTATTATTCTACATAATTCTGAAATATTAGCACCAAAAAGATTTTGACCTTTCAATTCCAATTCTAGTCATAGCAAAAAGGTATCATTTTATATGAACCAATTCATTCATAATTCAGGCTTGCTTTCTGAAGGTCTTTATTTATTTTCAGTATGATCACAAAATTCTACCAGCATGTCCTTTCCTTAGAATTTGCTATCACGGAGATCAATGGGAATCCACAAATCTTGTCCAATGTTACACTTGGTCTCCACATCTCAGATAGCTTCTATGATCCAAGAATGACTTATCGGACCACTCTGGACCTGCTTTTCAAATCAAATAGATTTCTTCCCAACTATGAATGCGGGATTCCTAAAAATCTCATGGCAATCATTGGAGGACTTGGATCCGATACTTCTTCCCATATTGCAAGCATTATAGATTTCTACAAGATTCCTCAGGTTGGTGCAGATATGGGGAAAATTAACCAAGTCTTTCATTTATATTTTAAGCCCAAAGAACATACATTGGGATTGGTATTTAATCCCCAAAACTATTGCCAAAAAGAGAGCCAGTTTGGCATAGTGGTTAAAGCATTAGACTAGAAACTGTAAGACTGTGACTTCTAGTCCCAATTTAGGCACAAAGCCAGCTTAAACACAAGCTCCTAATATTCTTGCCAATATTGTAAAAATAGTTTGATATTCTTCATAGGCTGAGAGAGAGGAACCGATCTTGGGTTGGTTTCTCTTTCTCAGCTTATGAAGATATCAGACTGCTCCTACAATCTTGCCAAGAATATTAATAGGACCTAATCCAGGGAGTCTGCAGCAATCAAACTGACTCGAAGAAGCATGTGTGTAATAATAAGGTAATAATTTAACAGCTAACCAGCTTGTATAATGTGAGATGTATGATGCAATGATGGGAATGACTCAGTATGGTCTATGTCCCTTTAAGAGCCAGCTGGGTCTATGTCCCTTCAAGGAAAAGCTCTGCTGCTGTGTTCTCTCTATTCTGTTTCCTGCTGTATAACTGCTGTGTATTGGAGCCTGCTGTACTAGCACATGTATGTATATTTTTCCTGGTGTATGATATTGTAGATAGTGTAATATAAACCACCATTTAATATAGACCACTGTTTATTGTGTTTACTCCTGGGTTATCTCAGCACAATAAGACTGTGCATGCTCTGACACCACACATACAGAGACACTCACTAAACCAAGAAGCTAGCAAGTAGGTTACAATCAAAGTCTAGGGAGTAATTTAAAATTACTCAACCAGCATTAGTGATGACGTATTTGAGTGCTCCTTTCCCTGTTTCTACTCAAACATCTTTCCCAGTTGCCTCTTTGAATGAATGAATGTCCCAATAATTGTAGTAATAATTGCAGGAAGCAATTATAGGAGCAATTTACTTTATTTGAGCTAGACCTTAAAGAGCAGGGGAAAAGAGGGCACTTAGACTAACTTATTGGGTATTTCTAGTTTAATGAAGAGAAGGACTAGGGGTGGTATGATAGCAATTTTCCAATATTTGAAGGGCTGCCCTCAGAAGAAGAGGGAGTCAACCTATTCCTCAGAGCACCTGAAGGCAGGACAGGAAGCAATGGATGGAAACTAATCAAGGAGAGAAGCAACCTAGAACTAAGGAGAAATTTCTTGACAGTGAGAACAATTAATCAGGGGAACTTGCCTTCAGAAGTCATGGGTGTTCCAACACTGGAGGTTTTTAAGGAGAGATTGGACAACCATTTGTCTGAAATGGTATAGTGTTTTCTGCTTGAGCAGAGGGTTGGCTTAGAAGACTTCCAAGATCCCATCCAATTCTTATTTTGTTATTCTGTTAATCTAGTTTAACATATTTTGACTTTCTTTCAGCTTACATATGGTTCATATACACCAGAAGCATTTTATACCAGTCAATTATCATCACTCTACTTTATGGCCCCAAATGAAGCTACTTTATACATTGGGATTCTCCGGTTGCTACAACAATTTGGATGGAAGTGGGTTGGGCTTTTTGCTTCCGAGTCAGACAGTGGAAAACAATTTTTGCAGAAACTGCAGTTTTTCCTTACACAGAATGAAATCTGTTCAGCCTTCCTACAACAAGTCCCAGGAATACCCACTTTTGATGATTTGGATAAATTTGGTGGTATAACATTTGCTCTTCATAGACATTACACAGACAACAAGATAAACACATTTATCATTTATGGAGAATCTTTGTTGCTTGTATGGTTAACAAGTGTCCTATTTTTGTTGGATCCTACCTTTAAAGAGAATATGTCATTTACAAAAGTTTGGATCATGACCAGTCAATTTGATTTGATACTCACAGGAATTCAAAAGACTTGGAATCTGCAATTGTTCAATGGGGCCATTTCCTTTCAAATTCAATCACATGATGTTTTGGGATTTAAGGACTTTGTTCAGTCCATAAAACCTTATTTGAGGCAGAGAGATGGATTTATAAAGGATTTTTGGGAGCAAGTATTTGACTGTTCCTTTCCTAATTCAAGATTGCCAAAAATGGACATTGGACAATGCTCTGGAGAGGAGAAACTGGACAATCTGCCCGGAGCAGTCTTTGAAATGGGAATGACTGGTCATAGTTACAGTATCTATAATGGTGTCTATGCTGTGGCTTATTCTTTGCAAAACTTACTATCAAAAGGAAAAAATCAGGACAAAAGGAGAGTGGAAAAAATGATTCAACTTACAAATCTTCAGCCTTGGCAGGTAACAGCTCTACACTCTCCTTTCACATGGGAATTTAGTACAATCTGATTAGGACTGGAAAATAACAGAATAACACAGTTGGAAGGGACCTTGGAGGTCATCTAGTCCAACCCCCTGCTCAGTCAGGAAGCCCTGTACCATTTCAAGAAATGGCTGTCCAATCTCTTCTTAAAAAAACTTCCAATGATGGAGCATCCACAACTTCTGGAGGCAGTTTGTTCTACTGATTAATTATTCAGGAAATTTCTCCTTAGTTGCTTCTCTCCTTGATTAGTTTCCATCTGTTGCTTCTTGTCCTGCCTTCAGGTGCTTTGGAGAATAGCTTGTCTCCCTCTTTTTTGTGGCACCACTGGAACACTATCATATCACCTATAGTCCTTCTTTTCATTAAACTAGACATACTCAATTCCAGCAACTGTTCTTTATATGTTTTCACCTCCAGTCCCCTAATCATGTTTTTGTTCTTTTCTGTATGTGAAATAAGCTAACATTTAAGCACTATGTATACATAAGGGGTATGTATACATAAGGGGCATGGTGGCTCAGTAGTTAAAAATGCTGAGCTTGTCAGCTTGAATGCTGACATCACAGGTTCAAGACTCAAGTGCCTTGCAATGGGGTGGCTCCTGATACTTGCCCCAGTTCTTGCCCACCCAAAAGCATGCAAATGCAAATCGATAAATAGGTACTACTTTGGTGGGAAGGTAACAGTATTACATGCATCTTGGGAAATAGTTTTTGCTGGCCATATAACCACGGAAAAGTCTTTGGACAAAACTAGCTCTTGTCATGGTTCCAATCAACAGAAACAAATAAAGCAGAAATCCGAGGTTTGCACTTTCCTCAAAAAACATCCTTTATTGTTACAGAGTATCAGTACGGTCAAAAGTGAAACCAAGTCTGATAATAATCCTGCAAATACAAAGTATCAAATCCCCACCACCTAACTAAGTAATACATCACATTTCCTAATTAACATCTTTGGCGGGCTTTTGTGGATTATACCCAGCAGCTGGATGAGGGAGCTATAGATGACCTTGATTCCCATGGGACAGCTGCTTGTTTTCACTAGCGCAGCACCTGTGAAACTCTTCCCCCCCCCCCAATGCTATGTGGCAACTTCAAGTGAGATGAAAATGGCTGCAGTCAGGCTCATTTGCAAAGCTGACAGTTGCCTTGGCTAAGAAATGGAGATGAATGCCACCCCTGAGTGGGAAATCACTGGACAGGGGAAACCTTTATCTTTATCTTTAGGTATATATCAGTGGTGGCGAACCTATGGCACACATGCCAGAGGCGGCACTCAGAGCCCTCTCTGTGGGCACGCACGCCATGCCCTGGAGATGGCAACCATCCCTCTTCAACCAGCTGCCTGCTAACTTGCAGAGATCCCACATGGCCGGATGTATCCCAGCACCTATGCGCTCACTGGCCTTTGTGTGCAGGGGCCGATGGTGTCAGGCAGCAGCCGCCCTGGCTGCTGCCTCACCTTGCCCTGTGACAATGGCACTCCCGCCCTGCCTCGCCTTGCCTCGCCTCACCCCGCAGCACGAGCCTCCTGCCCACCGCCCCACCTGCTAGAGACCCCCTGGATCTCCCCAACCCTGCCCAGCCCCCATAGGCATCCCTCCCCACGAGCAACATTGAGGTGATCACACCCACCTTGGCCACACCCACCCAATCTGCCATGACCACCACAGCCATGTCCACCCAGTGAGCCACGCCCACCTGGCACCCGGCGATAAATAAGTGGGTTTTGGGTTGCAGTTTGGGCACTCGGTCTCTAAAAGGTTCGCCATCACTGGTATATATTAAGTACTGTACCAAGGTAAAATCATTGTTCTTACCAAATTTGTACATCCAGCCAAATGAATTCTGAGCAACTTCTGCTCAGTTCTTTCTCCTAGTTTTTTTCATTTCAGGGGTCCTTGGTTCTCTCTGAGCTTGGCAGTTTTCTTGCGGGCATTTCATTATCCAAACAAGATAACATCATCAGTGATTAGACTAGCATCCCTCATTTCAACACTTGAGCTACAAATATTCTCCTTTATTTATCATTTCATTTCCTGCTCTGTATTCCCCTCTTTTTTTCCCAAAAAGCTCCACCGATTTCTTCATGGTGTTTCTTTTAACAACTCAGCTGGAGAAAGAGTCTTCTTTAATGAGAAAGGGGAAGTAACAAGAGGCTGTGATGTTATCAACCTTATCACTTTTTCTAACAACTCATTTCAGAGAGTCAAAGTTGGAAGGTTAAATCCTAATGCTGAAAAAGGAAAAGAACTGGTCATTGATGAAGATAGGATTATTTGGCACCCAGGTTTCAATCAGGTATGGTCAAAACTAGTCCTGTTTTGGAATGAATCAGAGCTGATTATTTATTTTTTTTGCTGTTCATATGATTATGCTAACATTTATTTGCTTTTAAATGGAGGCATTCTGTAAGACTATATTATTGTTTTGAAAATAATATGATACATAACTATATTTGAACATATATCTTATTTATATTTTCCTTTAAAAGCAATAATTCATTCATTCATTTTTTTCTCCAAACATTTCTATTTGCCATTGCACTTTTATGATATAGTTAAAATATTTTAATACTTAAATTTATTCTCACGTGAGCTCTCTTTTGTTTTGTGGGCAGGTTATTCCTATTTCACTGTGTAATGATCACTGTTACCCAGGATTTTGGAAAGGAAAAATTGAAGGGAAACAGTTCTGCTGCTATTGCTGTGTCCCATGTCCGAAAGAAAAAATTTCAGATAAAATGGGTCAGTTATGATCATGATATGGGCTTAAAGAAATGTTTTCCTCAGAACTAAGGAGTTGCTATGAGGGGCATATAACCAGGTCCTATCAAGTGCCAGGAGATTTATGAAGTTCAATAGAGTAGAGTAGAGTAGAGTAGAGTAGAGTAGAGTAGAGTAGAGTAGAGTAGAGTAGAGTAGAGTAGAAGTAGAAGTAGAAGTAGAAGTAGAAGTAGAAGTAGAAGTAGAAGTAGAAGTAGAAGTAGAAGTAGAAGTAGAAGTAGAAGTAGAAGTAGAAGTAGAAGTAGAGTAGAATAGAAGTAGAGTAGAATAGAATATGGGCTGGACTTAGATCCCTTGCAGGTGTTCAGGGACTTGTAACTTGTTACTCATTTGACCCTTCCTTGGGTCAGCTTGGTCATCTTATACAGGTCCACCTTAATTGAAGGTTCAATTAAACTGATTTATTGCTAAACAGCCTATGCCCAGTAATCTTTTCCACTAATGCTTAGCACCTGCTTGGAGTTAGATAAGGGTTCAGGGAATTCAAGGGGATTTGGACTTAGCCCACTTGTGCCTATATAGAGACTCTAGGCTGATCCCTCTTTTGACTCTGCCCCTGTTTTTCCACTCCTTCTCCTAGAATATCTGGAGTGTTGCTAAGTATATATTTCCACAGATGAAGTCAAGGGAACCCTATGAACCTCATGAACAAATGGTCTTAAAAATATATAAAGTTCATGTTAATTTGCAAAATTCTGCCATTCTCACAGAGAATTTCTTACAAATTTGGTTTGAGCCCAAATTTTTGGAAGAACTTTTCCACCTTGCTTATAATTCAGAGATGAATGAACTCAGTTTATGTAAGGTCGTGCCTCAGCTATCTTCAAGAGCATGACTCTTAAAACAAGTATTATTTCGAAAGGATCTTTTACTGAAAAAAAGTGATTGCAAGGAAGTTAGGCAGAATCTGAAGTTCCCATGTGAAATGTTAAGCTAATTTCCCCTTGAACAACCCTCACCCCAATGCCCCAGTCTATCAGGAGCCAATCCACTGGTGTAAAGTTGTTGTGGGAACTTTGAGCCAAAAAGGTGATAACAAGGCATTCTCTGGCACCACAGCCTTAATAACATGCAGGAGTTAGCCAGAAGAGAGGCTAACTAGATGGCCCCGATGGCCCATTCCCTCCTCCCCAATTTCCATGCAGATATATCAAAGTGACAGGAGAAACAATATAGAAGCATCTTCAATCCCCAAGTAACACTCCCCCATTCCCTCAGAATGGCAGCATTCTGGCAAGGACCTGACAGTTTACCAAAAATGATAACTTTGGGTCTAAAATGAGGAAACACTAGAAAATGAATAGGACAAAATCTTCTTTGAATAGTTATATATCAGAGAGTTTCTCCCATATTCAATGCTTTATGCTAACTTACTCTTTGAGAAGTAGACAATTCAAAGTATTTTCATGAAAGACACTTGCTCATGCCAATACTACCATTTTCTAGATTTCTATCTGCCAATTCCTTTTTTCCTTAATTCTGCACATTCAGAGTTCTGTCAAAAGACATTTTAAAGACTATCTTTAAAATCCCCTTGCTCCCTTTTGTCCCACATGTTCAATAAATATTATATTTCAGTATGGAGTTTTATTTTGTTTGTTTGTTTGTTTGTTTTTAATCTAGAAATGGAATATTGTTTTGACTGTCCTGAAGATCAGTATCCAAGCAAGGAGCAAGATCATTGCATCACCAAAAGAACAAGTTTCCTATCCTACGAAGAACCTTTAGGGATCATTTTGGCATCAGCTGCTGTTTTATTTTGCTTGATAACAGTCTGGATGCTTGGAACTTTCGTTAAGTACAAGGATACTCCCATAGTTAAAGCCAATAATCGAGACCTCACTTACACTCTCCTTGTGTCTCTTTTGCTCTGCTTTCTCTCTTCCTTTTTATTCCTTTGCCAGCCTAGGAAAGTAATTTGCCTTCTCCGACAACCAACTTTTGGCATCATCTTCTCAGTGTCTATTTCTTGTGTCTTGGCCAAAACCATCATTGTGGTCATGGCTTTCATGGCCAACAAGCCAGGAACCAAGATGAGAAAATTGGTAGGAAAAAGATTGGCCCTTATCATTGTTTTTTCATCCTCTTTTTTCCAAGTCAGTATTTGTATTGTGTGGCTGGCAACCTCTTATCCATTCTTTGAATTAGACATGCATTCTCTCAGAGAAACCATAATTTTGCAATGCAATGAAGGCTCCATCCTCATGTTCTATTGTGTCCTGGGTTACCTTGGTTTCTTGGCTATTGCCAGTTTCATTGTGGCATACCTTGCCCGTAATTTACCTGACAGCTTTAATGAAACCAAGTTTATTACTTTCAGTATGTTGGCTTTTTGCAGTGTCTGGGTCTCCTTTGTGCCAACCTTCCTGAGCACTACAGGGAAAGCCATGGTAGCTGTGCAGATCTTCTCCATCTTGTCCTCCAGTGCAGCCTTACTAGGATGTATTTTCTTCCCAAAATGTTTCATCATTTTGCTGAGGCCAGAACTGAACAACAAGGAGCAATTAATAAAAAGGAATTAAATTATGTAAATATCATCTTACATTCCAATTAAGTTGTCACATTCAAATGAAGAATATGAGTATCAAAATAATACATGCAGAATTATTTAAGTTTAATCAAACTTTAAATATATGCAGTTAAATATGATTCCTAGCATACAGGATTGTTCATTCTTCTGTTCCCAAGAAGCAGAAATGATGTTAATTAGATTTATTTAGATACATAATCTGAACAGAAACCAGTGTATACATTTAATTGAAATCAATAAATATTTAGTTTCTACCAATTATATGAAATCCAACCTCCAGTATTAGACTAAGCAGCCAAAGCTATAAAAAGAGCACAGAATTAATTGAATATTTTAATATTCTTCATTCACATTTTTCCAATGATACCATCAAATATATATACAGTAATTGTTCTCACTGTTAGGAATTTTTTCCTTAGTTCTAGGTTGCTTCTCTCCTTGGTTAGTTTTCATCCATTGTTTCTACTCCTGCCTACAGTGCTTTGGTAAATAAGTTGCCCCCCTCTTCCTTGTGGCAGACCTTCAAGTAGTGGAAGACTACTATCATGTTACCCCCAGTCCTTCATTTTACTAGATTAGATATACCCAGTTCCTGCAATTGTTCTTCATATGTTTTAGCTTCTACAACTCTAATCACTTTTGTTGTTCTTCTCTGAACTCTTTCCAAAGTCTCAACATCGTTTTTACATTGGGGTAACCAAAACTGGATGCAGTATTCTAAATGTGGTCAATCAATCAATCAATCAGAATAAAGCTGGAAGGGACCTTGGAGGTCTTCTAGTCCAACCTGCTGCCCAAGCAGGAGACCCTATAAATTTGAGACAAGTGGCTATCCAGTCTCTTACTTACTGCGCATGCCCAAGATGACGGACCGACTGCGGCTTGCTCCGTAGTGCGTGGCTCCGTAGTGCGTGGCTCCGGCAAGTGGGGAAATGGGGGCGTTTTGGGGGTGTCTCGGGGGCCTGCGACGAAGGGTGACCGGATGACCTCCCCCCGGACCCGGTTCAGCCCGCCCGGCCCGTTTTCGGCCGTTTTCGGCGTTTTCGGCCGTTTTCGGCCGTTTTTCGGCGTAGGGACTCGGCGTGGGGACTCGGCCGT